TTGATTATGTATTCCCTGTTCTTTGCCTGTTGTCACCATTGTCCCTCTCCCTTCTTATACGTTTTCTCTTCCTGCTCATCATTCTTGTTTCCTTATTCCGTTCCCTCCTATTCTTTATTTTGTCTTCCTTTCTTGTTTTTCTGTCTGTTTTGAGCTTTGTACCTTGTTTTTATCTATTCTTTTTGTCCTATTTTTGCTTCTTGTTCTTTCCTGTATAGTCCTTTTTTCTTAGTTTTTTTCGCTATTTTTTGCTGTTTTTATGCTCTTTCTTGTCCTTTTCTAGTCTTATCTGTTTGTTTCTTGTGTTTATTTTTCCCTCTATATCTCTTTCTTGCTGTTATTCTCGTCTTTCTACTTCTTGCGCTTGTTGTTATGTTTCCTTTTTATTGTTTTCCTTCTTCCTGTTTCCTTTATTGTACTTCTTGCTTGTTTCATTTATGGCTTTATTTTTCTCCTCTTCTTTTCACTACTTTTCTTCTCGCCTCCTCTTCCTCGATATTGCCGGCGTCTTCTTTATATTCTCTTTTTCTTTGTTCTGTTTTCGCTGTTCTTGTCTCATTTTTTCTACGTTCCTTTCGTTTCTCTGTCTTCTTCTCTCTTTCCTTCTTTCTCTTCCTGCTTTCGTGTATTTCTTGTTTTATTTCAATTGCTGTTTTCTTGTCCGTACTGGTTGCTTTCTTACGTGTATTGTTTGTCTTTGTTTTTTTATTCCGCTTTTTCCCTATCTTTTTCTCCTTGTTGTGTGTTCATTCGGTTTTTATATCATGTGTGTTGTCTCTTATCTTTGCCTTTTTCTTTCCTGTTTTCGTTGTTATACTTTTCTCTTCACTTTCATTCTGTTGCTTCTTATTTTCTCGTTTGTTTGTTCTTCCTCTCTCTCTTCTTCTCGTTCTTTTTCGTATTGTGTACTCTTGTCTCTTGTTGTTTTTCTGCCTATATTTATTTCTTGTATTGGCTTTCTCTTTCACGTGCTCTGCCTACTTTTCCCGATTTCTTGTGATGTTTCTCCTTTCCGTCTTATAATTTTATACTGTCCCTCCTTTTTTCTTGCTTTATCTTTGCCTTTTCTTTAGTTATTGTCTTCTCTGCACTTGTGGTTATCCTTTAACTTTTTCTTACCGGTTTCTTCCTTTCTTGATTCTTCCTTCTATTTGGTCTTCCTGTTCTCTTTTTACTTTGCTTTTAGATCTTCTATTACTATTATCAGTTTTTCTTCTTTCTTAGTTCCTGTTTCTCTCTGCCTTTTGCTGAATCTTACCCTTTACTTTTCCTTCTTACTTCTTTCTCATTTAGTTGCTTTTGTTCTTTTTTCTTTCGCTTTTCTCTACTGATTCTCTTTCGATGCGTCCTATCCGTTCTTCTCTACTATTCTTTGTTCTTCTAGTCGTGCTTTTCCTTCATTATCAGTTTACCACTTTCATTCCATTCTGTTTCTATTTATTCTTTCATTTCAATCCCTCTTCCTTCTTGATAGATTTACTTTTTGTACTTTCCTATTATTTGCTGTTGTTTTTTGTTGCTTTGCTTATTGACGACTATACTAGCATGCTGCCGTTTTCTTGGTGCTTTACTTCTCGGACGTCTTTTCTCCCATGCTCCAATCTTTCGTATGTACTTCTTTCTTATTCTTGTCTCTTCCTCGTTTTTGTTATCTCTCTTCTTCGGTTTTTCTATTTTCTTTATCTTCCTTGATTACTCTTTGTCTTATTTGCCTTGGCTCTGCTTCCTGTTATTGTCTTTTCTTCCTGCTATTGCTGTTCTATTTTCAGTTCCTCATTTGTTTCATGTGTCGTTCTTGTCATTTCTTTTTTATATCTTGACTGATTCTGTCTGTCTTTATCTCGTGTTCTCCTTATCTCTCTTGTTCCCTGTTACTTTTTCTTGCTCATTTTGTTATTTATTGTTCTGTTCTTCTATTGTGCGTCATTTTCTTTTTTATTTTCTGTCTTTTCTTACTTACTTCTTGATGTGTTTCCTGCTATTCTTTTTCTTGCTTGCTTTTTCTCCTTTGCTCCTCTTTTCCTCTTTTTAGCCGTACTATTATTTTCTCTTGTCTGTGTTGTTCGTTTCTGCTTCTCTTTTTTCCGCGTTCATTAATCTTCCGCTTTTCTCTGTCTTTTCCTCGTCGGTCGTTTTTGTCGTTGTGTTTTATGAGTCTTGTTTTCTTTTATTCTCTTCTTCAATTTTGTCTACTTACTGTGATATATTCTCTTTCCTAGTTTGTAACTCTTCTTTCTCTCGTTTTCTTGTCTTGCTTTTTCCCTCTTGTCTTTCTCTTGCTTTCATTATTGTTTCTGCTTTGCGTTTTTTCCTTCCTTCGTTTTAATTCTAGTTCCCTCTTTCTTCCATGCCTCTCTTGTTATTATTACCTATTACTTCTCTCTTATGCTGACTCCTTTCTCTTGCTTTCGCTTGCTGTTCTCTCTTTTCTTATCGTTTTTCTCATCTTTGTTATTCCTTCTTCATCTTCTTTTTCGTTGTCTTCTGTTATTCTTTTTTTTGTCGCTCTTGATTTAGTTGTATTATTGTCTATTGTTAATCCTTTTCATTTTCTCTCTCTTTTCTTTCTTGTCTCTGTTTGTCTTTTCCCTTTTCAATCTCATGTTCATATCGTCTTTATTGATTCTTCCTTGTCCTCTGTTATTTCCTTCTTTCATTGTTGAGTCTTGTTTTCCTTGTTTGTCGTCTCCTGTTTCTTGGTTGTTTTTTTTCCATTTCTTTCTTTTTATTTATTCTTGCTCTTTATTCTTTCTTCTGATTATTGTGCTCTTCCTCTTCCTGTTGTATATTGATCTTGTTAGTTTTTGCTATGCCTCATTATCCCATTTGTTTTTCCTTTCTTTGTCCTTCTTTCTTGTTCTTCTTGTTGTCTTTCTCTTTGTTGCCCTTCCCTATTGCTCTTCCCTTCTTGAAGCCTTTCTTCTTCTTATCGTTGCTCTCTTGTGTCATTGTGTTTTTTCGCATTTTCTTTCTCCTTTGTCTTGTCCTGTTTTGTTCTTCTCTTGCTTCTTGTTTCCTCTTTCTCTTGTTCTGTATTGTACTTATCTTGCTGGCTGTCGTTTTCCTGTTGTTTCTTTCTTCTCGTTTTCCATCATCCTTTTTGCTTCTGCTATCTGTTGTCGTTTGTGTTATCTCTCTCCTTTCTCATTTTCCTGTTGCTTCTTTTCTTTCTTCCTTGCGTCTGTCTTGCTCTTTGTTCTTGTCTTGTTCTTCCTCTCATGGTCGTTGTTACCTCTTCCTTATTTTTCTTATTTTCTTCTATTTTGTTATCATTGGTTTTTCTTCTTTTTGTACTCTATTCACTCTTCGTTGTTTCTTCATTTCTTCTAGCTTTTGTTTCTGTCGCTTTTACTGTTTCGTCCCCTCTTTGCTTTAATTTTGTTTCGGTTTTCTGTGACTCATTCTTTCTACTTCCTGTTGTTGTTTAAGTTGTTTGCTTTCCTCTTTAGCTGCTTGCCACGTTATTACCTGTCCTTAGATTCTTTATTTCTTCCTGTTGTGTATTGATTATTACTTTTCTTTTCTCCGTTGTAGTTCTTTCTTCTCTGTTAGCTCTGTTTCCGTACTTTTCTTTTCATATTATATTCATTGTTCCCTGTCTCTGCTTACTTTGTTTGTATCTCTCTCTTACTCTCTTGTTATTGTTAATTCCTTATCTTTTTCTCAACTGTTTTCTCTTTTCATGTTTTCTTTCTGCTTATTGATTTTTCTTAGTTATCACTTATCCCTTTCTCGTTCGCTGTTTCTCTTGCTATTCTCTTTTCTACCTGCCGATTTCTTCTATA